CCCAAAACCTTCTTATAATTATAGTAGAATATACCCCAAACCCTATTCTAATTATTAAGGCCCTTGCTCCTCTCCTCTCTAAAGCCCCTTTAGGTTTTAGTCCCCCCGCGCTTTCTTGCCTCATGCACCACTCGCTGCCACAAAGCAGGTCTTTGGCAAATGCAGGCTGGCTGAACGAGACGTGCAGACCTTGATGGCTATCAGCGGGCAAGGTGGCATCTTCTACGAGCCGTGCAAGAGCTGCTCTTTGCCCCCGATGATGAAGGAGCGGTGCCCACAGGGTGAGCAAGAGCCTCCGAGCACACCTCAGGCGTTGGTCTGACTGTGGGCGCTGATTTCGGCCTCACTGCGGGGCGGCGCCAAATTGGCAAGCGCATGAAGTGTGGCGCCGACATGCCAATCCAGCGCATCTGGCTTGTGCAGGGCGTGCCAGGGGCGGTGACCGAGGAGCAGCACCAACGCAGTGTTTTTGATGTTCATCAGCTCATTGACGACAACAATCCGGCGGCGATTTTCCTTAGTCAGGATGTTTCCAGATTTTTCGACTCCATCAGTCACGACTTGCTCTTTGAACTCCTGGCTCATCTCAGAATGCCGGCTGAGGTGATTGCTGTCCTCAAAGACTTCTACACGAACACTTGGAGGTTTCTGGAATTCGCGGGTCACATTTACCCACACAAGATCATTCCTCAGCGAGGCTTGGTGCAATGATGTCCGCTTTCACCGGTCCTTGCAGCTTGTTTCATGCGCCTTTGGACTATATTTCTTCGAAGCTCTCGGGTTTCGGCCGAAACCTTAGAACTGAGCAGTTTAGGAGATCAGGGTTTAGGGTGAAGGAGTTTAGCAGATTAGGGTTTAGGGGCTGAGGACATTAGGGTTAAGGAGATTAGGGTTTAGGGGTTTAGGGGTTTTGGACACTAGGGTTTAGGGTTAAGGAGTTAGGAAATTAGAGTTCAGGGTTTAGAAGCCCGAAAGGTGGAAACCCAACAGCCTCAACCCTCAAGAGTACTAGTGCTAACGGAATCCCAGCACTATTTGTCCTTAATTCGGTTTCCAACTTTTGGGGGTTCACTATACTTGGAGGATCATGGGGCTTCGTAAGTAAGGTTATACGTACCTCAACTAGTGTTATAAGTAGATATACCTCTAGTTATCACACTTATAACCCTACTTACTAAGTCCGCTGATCCTCTAAGTACTTCTGGACGCCCTAAAGCCTGCATGGCTTTTAGGTGTGGTTGTGCTTGCAGCGAAGCCCGGAAAACCCTGAGCCTTAAACCCTAAACCCTTATCTCCTAAACTTCAACCGTCATCTCCTCAACTCCTGAACCCTAAACCCTAATCTCCTAAACCCTCAACCCTAATCTCCTAATCTCAAAAACTCTTTAACCCTAGACCCTAATCTCCTAAACTCTTTAACCCTGAACATCTCCTAAACTCCTTAACCCTAGACCCTAATCTCCTAAACTCTTTAACCCTGAACCCTAACCTCCAAAACTCCTTAACCCTAGACCCTAATCTCCTAAACTCTTTAACCCTGAACCCTAATCTCCAAAACTCCTTAACCCTAAACCCCAAGCCTCCGCAGCGTTTAAGGCTCACGGCGCCGGGTTTAAGTTGTTCGGCATGGCTTTTGAAGCAGAGAGATGCATTTGGCAGTGTGCTACGGGTAGTTCTCCTACACTAGGGCCCCTTTTGGGGTCCGGTTCTATAAGGGTGCTGTACTATTCTGGGGATCAAACAAAAAAGGACCCTAGTTTAGGGGACTACCCATATAGGACCTCTCAAGGTTTGCTAGGGTTGCGTGATGCAGTTTAGGGCAGTTTTTTTGTTCAATGTTTAGGGTTAGATCGAAGTTTGCGGCTGGTATTTATGAGTTGCTGTCATCATCATTAGGTTCTTGAGTAGTACCCTATAATGATTAGGTTCTTGAGTAGTACCCTATAATGATTAGGTTCCTGAGTAGTACCCTTTTGCACTTTTTAGTATATGGGTCCCTTATTGTTAGAACTGAATACCAGGACAAACGGTACTACCCTTCTTATTTAAGGGTCACTGGGGAACCTCGATGAAATTATGCTGATGGATTTCAGCTGGCCTTGGGGAGTTGAAGGACCTGGTCTGGGCTGAAGAACATAAGGGCAAACGCAAGGCTTAGCGTAGTGGACAGAAAAATTCGTAGCGGTATTTCTCAGGTTTCACCAATAAGTTGAAGGTGATGCATAACTGCATAAGCGTGTTGCTTTAAATGCCCAATCCCTAAACCCTAAACCCGTAAACCCGAAGCCCTAAACCCTATATAAACGCGTTCCCAGGTCGGACCCTATCTCCGCCCGGATAGGTTTCCAACCGCCCTTCGCCAATGCATCGATGTCCGAGGACTTTCCCATGGCTCCAAATTTCTCCCTGTTCCTGCGGCTGATGATACAAATTCTACATTACCCATATTAAGGAATATACGATAGTTCCCGTGGTTTAGGGTCCTTAAGGAAATGCAGGGTTTGTATCATCAACAGTGTTTCCGGAGCCCAACCCTGCCCAGGGTCCGGAGGAGTGGCTTCCCCCCCCAAAGGTCACTGGACTTAGTACGGCATTTCAACCTACGCTTAGTTTCAGACAGAAACTACCCCAGAAGCCTCAGCAACTTAGTTCCCCAATACCCAACCTCTAAGCTTCTTTGGGGTTCTTATAATTTAGTAGTAATCTAAAAGTTGAACCTTTGATTTCTTATTGGGGAAGTAAGGAGATCTTTGGGCTCATATGTGTGAGCATGCGCACACTCAGCTCTGTATCAGCAGGACCCCGCGTGCCAGGTTTGTTGGTCAAAGGAAACCCCATTCTAAGCATTAAGGCCCCGGTACGAATTCTGCATAGAAACCCTTATAGAACCCTTGAAGCAACCCTTAAAGGAAACCTTGTATAAACCCTAAACCCTAAACCCTAAAGCCTTTAAAGGAAGCCTGGCAGGTCCCTTAGAGGAACCCTCATAGGCTTCTGGCTGGCGGAACATTTCCCCTGCTAAAGCCAGAAAGGTTTAGGGTTTAGGATTTGTGGTTTAGGGTTTAGGGTTTAGGATTTAGGGTTTAAGGTCTAGGGTTGAGGGGTGTAGGGTTTAGGCTTCAGGATTTGTGGTCGTTTGAATTCAGTATCATCCCTCTACGGCTTAAGGCAAGGATACTTGGAAGCACAGGGGACTTAGTAAGTCGTTTATAAGTAGAGTTATAATTGGGTAACTCCATTTAGGGGACTTATAACCCTACTTATAACCTACTTACTAAGTCCCCTGGGCCTCCAAGTAGGGCTTGGCATGGTGGGACTTCCTGAGACCAAAGTCCTCCAGGGACTCCAATATTCCTGAGTCGAAGAAGGTGGTCAGGGTTCAGGGCTTTGGGTTTAGGGGTCTAGCGGCCTTACTGATTACCTATACTGTCTTGGGGGGTTCCGTATTATAGTAATTGGTGTATAATTTACCCCCGAACCCCATTCTAATAGTGGCCTGTACATGAAGTTATTTAACATCATCTTCAGGATCCCTCTAACATTTTGAATTCTATTCCTGGTTCACAATAGAAGCCTGGTACATTAGCTAAATTACTCCTCAGGGTTCCCTACTATAATCATACCAAAACATATATCGAACTCAATTGACTCCTATAGAATCCCTCATAGAACTCCTTTCAAGAAACCCTTAAAGGAGCCCTGTTCGAATTATTAAGGCCTATCTATGAAGGATATCTTTTGGAGTTTCCAGGTTTCCTGATTCTACTTTACTAGAGCCTGATAGTAACCTTTGGAGAACTTTAAGGACATCCTGTACAAGAGGTTGGAGCCCTAAACCCTAAAACCTGACAGTAACCTCTCTTTACAGTAATCCTTGACTGGAGCCCTTTCCCCTAAACCCCAATCCCTAAAACTGAACTCTGAACCCTGAACCCTGAACCCTAAACCCTAACTCTCTTCCTTGAGCGCAGGAGTCGCACGCGCGCGCGGCAGCCTTCGTGCCGGATCCCAGCAGCTGAGCCAGGTCTACGGCTTTTTTTGGCTTCCTTGTAATGATTTCTTGATACCCAGAGGGTCCATATATACTGCCATTATGGAATTAGGTCCCCAAAACCATAATAAGGATGGTCTTTTGGGACCTAATTCCATAATGGTAGTATATGTGGACCCTCTGGGATATAAGTCCTTAAAAGGTAGGTTCTTAAGAGTCCAGGTAGGGTCTAGGGCTTGAGAGTCGAAGGCCCCGGATTCTAGGGTTTTATTTTGGGGGTGTCGGTTTAGGGTTTAGGGTTTAGGGTTTAGGGTTTAGGGTTTAGGGTTTAGGGTTTAGGGTTTAGGGTTTAGGGCTATGGATGTTAAGGGGTGCCAATGGTTTCTGTGAGGTTGTTACAGGTGCCTGTCTGCAACCCATGTCTTCCTGGTTTAGGTTTCAGCACTTCAGCGAACAAGGCTAGATCTGGGAAGCCGCCAAGGCAAGTTGAAAAAAAACACGACGTTACGCCCGCTCACTTCGGCCTACATTACATGGCCAGAAAGGGTGGATCAAATGGTACACGCCATTGGACCAGCAACGTGTACTCTACCCACATCTTCCCCCCCTCCCTAACACAATTATCTTACGTATTAAGGCTCTACATGAGGCCCTTCACGACCCTAGAAACAAACCCTTATGGGACCTGATAGTAGTTTCCCAATTCCCTTCCCAGGCGATGTCTTTATAGCGACAGTGCCAAAGTCGGGCAACTTGGCTGCTTGCTTAAATGTGGCCTAAACCCTAAACCCTAAATCCTAAACTTGAGGATCAGTGATTGAGGGTTTACGGTTGGAATGTTCAGCATTTAGCCCGTTATACTTACATTCCAACAACACCTGTCGCCTGTCGGTTATTACCATGACTATTCTGGGGGGGTTCCTTAATACAGATATACTTAGGGCTAAATAGCTGTAATTT